TATGCAGTACCATTCCAGAGCTCAAGGCATCGGGTACGCTTTACACATAGAGTCTCGCTCAGTTTAGTTTCCATGTAGTGTTAAATTCAGATGAGCTATATTCATTACAAATAGTAAGCTAAAGTAGATTAAAAAAGATGATAGATTTGCTCAATCCATGTTCAGTTGCTAAACTGACCAAGAGCTGCACTTCAAAGAGCCAACTGTTCAATATAAATCAGCCATAACTTTGTTAGTTTTTCATAACTGTTCAATATCTGATTTTTGTGATCTGGAAAACATTACTGGTTATTTCATAGTAAGATTGTAGAGTTTTTATCCCTCTGTTTTGCTTATCTATTCACTTGCTTATTGTAAATAAATAATTAAATAGTCGGGAGTTGTAATTTCAAGGAAAGAAACAGGAAGCTCTTTGAGGTCTCTGCTATCACACCTGTGCGGGCAGTTCATGGGTACATTTGTTGGTGTTCTGTTCGGATCAGTGGAGATTGATCTTTCAGTCACATGCCAATCCATGTTTGCCTGTTTAGTCACATTGAGCTCTTCCAACTTTTATCAAGCTATTCCAAGCATCATATTTGAAATAGCTTATGTTTTATAGGTATTGACCTACAAGTTTGTTGCTGAATATGACTATCAATTTGTTAACAGTCTAGCAAAAATAATTATTACTCATGCGAAATACGTCAACTACCCAAAAAGTGTGTATGAGGAAGAAATTATCAACAGCTTGATAAACATCATGATCAATCCGTTTGAAACATAATGTATTTTCTAGATTGTTAATAATTATTACAAGTATTAATAGTTTATTTTTGCTGAATATACGTGAGAGAGAGTCATTGCAAAATGACACCGAACATAAAGAGAGACAGAGACGTAGAGTGGAGGAAGGAGTAATTCGAAGGTTAAAAAGGTCAACGATGACGCCTAATGTACATGAGTCCTAAAGATATATGATACACACAATTGGCATAGAACCATAGAATGTGCATCCTAAAGATAGAGCATGCATGCCCCGTAGTAATGCACGGGCTCATTTACTATATATGATAGTTCAACATTCAAGCGGACAACACGACCACTACTGTCAAAGGGCCTAAGAAGGATAAGCGGCAACACAGGTACGGTGCCATGTTAAAATATAGGACATGGATCTATTCGTCATGATTCATACATATTGGGCTAAAGGCATGTGATTTTTTTTCCGTTGTAACGCACGGGCATTTTTGCTAGTAATAATAAAGCACGGATTGAGTCTCCGGGTTCACCGTCACAATACGCTTTCTTTCCGTAAATTTACGCTTTCAGTTTTTTTCTTCAACACGTCTATATTTATTTTCTATATCCAAGATGGTACTATTTTTTGCCCATCTATCGTCCGTCCACTTTGCCTATATTATTTTCTCCATAAGTCAAAGACGTCTCGCTCCTCGACATGGGCCTGCAGGCCATCCGTTGGCTTCAGCTCCTAAAAAAGAGTACAATAGCTGTTTGGATCAAATTCACGACCTTCTCTGCTGTCCACATCGCTCCTTTAGATATAAGCGAACCAGTTCATATATCTAAGTTGTCTAGAGAATCTTCCTGCAAAAAAAAAGTTGTCTAGAGAATCATGCGAGGGCGGGAGAGGAAAGGAAGGCACCGAGGGCGGTGGCGCCGGTGCTCCTCCGGCGATGAGTCGGACTCCGTCGAGACGAGCCGGCAGCTAGGCGCTCGGGCGCGACCGCGTCGTTGCCTGACGGAGAACACGAGGGCCACGCGGGGGATGGAAGAGGAAAGGAAGGCACAGAGGGCGGCGGCGTTGGTGCTCCCTCTGGCGACGTGATGGACTCCGGCGAGACGAGCTAGCGGCTGGGCGCTCGGGTGCGAACACGTCCTTCCCTGATGGAGAAGGCGAGAGGCCATGCGGGGAGGGAGGGAAGGCCGTTGGCGGCTTGGCGCACGGGAGTAGAGAGCGGGGCAGCGACATCCCATGGCGCGTGGGTGTGTAGCCGGTAGCCCGTGGCATGTGGCCGATGGAGCGGCCGATCCAATGGCGCAGGCCAGCGGCGGCGCGTCCCAGGACAGGGGTCGTGGATCCGAGTCGGAAGAGAACGACAGTCAAAAACCATGGGATGGCTGCGATCGACCAGTCCATATACAGTTGGAGGAGCGCCAGCGAGGCGGCTTGTTTCTTCTAGACAAGCCGGGTGTTAGGCTAGCGTGCACACATGTTTGACCGCGGTATACATTATTTTTAATCACGAGACTATAAAAAACTACGAGTTTACGTGGACATGTCAGCGTGCACTGTTGGTTCTCCGAAGTAGGCAAATGTTGGTTTTAATTGTTTTAGGGATGTTGGGTTTATTTTAATACAATATAGACGCATGCGTTCAGAGCATTGTCTTTGATTTACAAAGTCACCACACATGGCTTATAGTCGTAGGGAACATCTCCTCTCAATGAATGCGTATCTTCGGAAATCTCATTGAATTTAATGTTGTAAATTTCGAACTAACGCCCCAAAAAATCCTGTTGTTAATTGATCCATCATTTTCATCATCGTCAAACTTATCCTCTATATCCTCGCAAAAGAAAAAACTTATCCTTTATATGTCTAGCCTGATTAACGATAATTGGCGTTTGCTTTATAGGAAAGCACATCAACTTTTTTTTTCTGTTGCAACGCATGGACATGTTTGACTCAGACTTTCAATTGTTTTTCACCTATATTATTCTCTACATGTACGTGGTGGCACTATTCATCTCAGGTGGCACTATATATATAGGACCTATTGCTGTATATAGCGACCATCCATATTTTTTCGTCCGTGGTCGCTGTCACTATGTCTGACTCATACGGCCCATCGAAATTTTCATCAAACGTCTATATGGCCCAAGTCAGACGGCCCAACTTCTGTATAAAAGAAGGCACAAAAAACTGCTAGCAAGTGGGATCGAACTCACAACCTCCACACCAAACATGACAAGCCGTTGCCAAGTTGAGCTAGGATGTGTTTGTATTTGAACAAAAGATTTCACACATGTCAAATAGTCCCAGGCGGCCGATGCAAAAAAATTCTGGACTAAGCTGGATAGCAACATATGAGAATACAATGCTGATTAACCAATTAAATAGTCACACCTCGCTCCCTTAGATCTAATTTTCATAATTTCTATACGTCTGGATTTTCTTTTGCATATTGAGGAGCCATCTCAGGAATCATTAAGGAGGAAACCAGACGTCTCATAATAAGGAAAGAGGCATTGAGAGAATATAAGGAAAGAAAGAGGGATTGAGATAATAAGGAAAGAACGACGGATTTCAGATGTGATAAAAAACAAAGAATGAGGGTGCGGGAAGATGAGGCAGAAAAGAAAGGGATCGGCCATGGTGATTGAGGACTCAAGAAGGATTCCATCTCTGGAAGAAAAAGGTCGATGTCGTGCTGGCGAGCTCATATATGGAAAAACCATATTTGAAACAAAGATTTTGAGTTATTCAAAAAAAGTATTTTTTTGTGGGGGAGTTATTCAAAAAATTAATGGGATGCACGAACGCATGGCTTACACAACATCACCCACAGCGGACATAACCTGACCATGCAATCGGATCATCATCACATGTGCGACCGGTCTCCCAAATCATGCAGTTTGGTGCAAAAATATCATAATTTACCTACATGGTTGAGGCCGATGAATTTCTTCTTTTGTGTCTAAATTTGTTGGACCGCTTCATTTATAACTCTATGCTTTATTATTAGGGAGATTCTTCCTAATAATAAAGCATGGATTGAGTCTTTGGATTCACTGTCATGGAGTTTTTGCAGAGAAGCCCCCGTGTTTTTTAGTATTCAAGCCGCAATCCTATTTAAGTGACTATAGAGAAAACGTTTCATTTTTCCAGAAAACACCCTATCGTTTGGTATATTCAACCCGCAGTTCTTTTTAGTGGAGAGGCGTGGAGGAGATATGCCGGTCTCTGTCGCCCTGTCGCGGATCGCCACGGCTGCCAACACCCGGCGCCGCCTCCTTCGCTGCTGATCAACGCCGCCACCAAGCCAGGCACTGCCTTCGCCTCGCCGTCGTCCCCCTGTGTCAACTTCCGCCTCCACCGCGCGCAAAACCAATCGCCATCGCGCCCCCGCTCCCGTTACGCTTGGCCTCCCTTGCTGGCGGCCCTGCCCAGTGCGGCCTTCCTCACCACGCGCTGCCTCCTGTGTCGCCAGCATCACGCCCAGCGTCGCCTCCCCCTCCGGCGCGCCTGCAGCCTCCACCGTACAATGGAGTCGCCGCCGCTGCCACCCCCTTCCCTGGACGTGCTTCCTGTTTGCAACAATCAAGGTGGATTAAAGCGGCCGTGAGGTCAAGGAGAGGGAAGGTCCAGGTATCGGAGAGGAGGAAGAAGGTGGTGAAAGCTGTTCTGTTGCTGCTGATCCTTTCCAAGCTAGACACGCCCATGTTTTGTTGCTGCCGATCGTGTATCATAGTGCCCACAATATGTTTGAGGTAATGTCCACCAGGTTGCTTTTTGATTAATTATTAGTTCAGTTATTACATGGACCTGTGAAGATACTTTAGTTTGATCGAGTCCATATAATTGAGTTTGATCGAGTCAAACATGGAGGAGTAACATCTATATATAGAGATTGATAATAAGTAAGCCAATGCCCGATTCAGTTCTTAGCTCTTATGTCTACATATGCAATGACTGAATATTACGACAGCCAGCTCAGTATTCAGAGGTAGAGGAATAGCCTGCAAGTGCACGCATTCGTGATGCTTGCGCGGCGAGCCTTCTTCCTGGCCACCACCGGCACCACCAACGCCACCGGGAAGTATTCATCCGCCAATCCAGTTGCGGCGGCGCCCTCCTCCGAGACACTCTCAGCGAGCCCCCTCACCTAATCAACCCCATCCTGTTGTGTCACGTCTTCCTTCAATTCGGCGGACATCGACTCGCCGGCTCGGCTCTAGACTCACTGGCGAGTGGACCGGCGAGGGAAGATTATGGCATGGAGATTAGTCCTATATGCAAAAGGTGCACCTACTTTGTTTTGTTATTAGTATTACCAACAGTAAAGTGCATGAATGGGAACTGAGAGTTTGAGACAGGCTTGCAGTAAGCTGTAAGACGCGACCATACAATTTTAGTATCTATTCGTGTGTCCGTGCAGGAAAACGGAGAACGCCTCCAACACGATAGCCATGGGTGCCCGACCCGGATTTCACATATTCTTCGGTGTCATAAAAAGGAAGCCTCGACCGGATCACATCGCAAGTTCTAAAGACAAACGGTCCAATGTCGCCTCCTCCAACTTCGCGGGAAGACCATCCACCGTTGTCTCTGTGGACTTCGCTGCAAGACCATCCGCCGTTGCCTCCGCCGACTTTGCCGGAAGACCATCAGTTGTCATCTCCGCCTACTTCGCCGCAGGTATCTTTTTTTTTTTTGCAAATTATGATGCAACTATTTTTGATTTACAACCAGAGCTTACTGATGGTTATAGGATGAAAAAACGCGCATATAAGTTGCAAGATTTTGAATAGCAATTTCTATGTATATGTTCTCCTGCACTTGTGCTGATAAACTCACTCACTCACTCACATGGACTGTGGTTAATTAGATGAGACAGTCACATGTGAGGATGAAAGCTTGGATCAGCTTCTGTAGTCGCTATCTTTCATTTACAACCGAGTTTTCTTATGGTTATAGGATAGAAACTTTGTATTATTTTGCCATCTTCTTTCCTTCGTGAAACTAGCTGCAGCAAGTAGCAATTTAAACTGATGCGAGAAAGTATCTATCTTTAATGTCCAACTGAAGATTTTTCAGTTGAAAACATCAACCAAGATACAACAAATCCTCATGGTCAGCAATCTTACCGTTATAAAGTTTCAGTCATCCTTTTAGATAATTAGGCCTGAGCTCGTTAACTTCCCATCTTAAGAAACTGTTGTCAAGGTAGTAGTGGATGCTGCAATTGATAATTACTTGTGCTCTGAGATGGTGGCTCCTAAAAATGATTCAGCACATCCTTGTGATTTTGAAGACAAAAAAGAAAGAGATTTCTCTTACTTGCTGGATATACTATTACTAATTGCTTCTGCATTGAGTATCAGCTGTATAAGGTGCGCCAGTCCCTTTGACTATTTTGCATGCAATGATATGTTTGGCATGCTTGAAAAAATACAAGAAACTTACTAAGTGGTCAAGGGCACAAAGTAAAACTTACTGTAACTTAGCTACCAATGTGACATACTACTGGTCAGGTTTTACCACTCACCATTAATATGCTGATGGAGTTCTCCAATTCTGAAAACAAATTCACCATGCATTGAATGGATCATTCAATTGTGCAATGCAAATGGTGTGTCCTCTGTTAGTCAGAGGATCTGAGAATCGGGATAGATCAGGATGGGTTTCATATGTGAAATTTTGCTTAATGGACGCTCCAAGTTTCCTCTAATCAGCAGACCTATGGGATACGGGCCTCTGTTTGCCCCTGGTACTCCTGATGCAGGAGCTACACTTCCAGTTTGACTGCCTGAGGGAAGGGTCTCGCTTCAGTTGCTTTGGGTCATTATATGTTTTTATTGTTGAAGGGTGGTACGTGTGCTTAACCGTGTCCAGAACTGAACTTTAGTAGTAGGGACAGCAAAATTATCTGAAAAATACTGTATAAATGGTCATAGAATGCCAAACAGTTAAGAAAAACTGTAAAGAAATGCGAACCGAAAGGAAGGGGAAAATTGTTTTCTAATGTTAGAAGTCCGATTGAACTCAGTAGTGGTTATCTTATCTCTGTTGGCTCTATGATAACCTTCTTATATATGCAAGTTACTCTGAAGCAGCAAGATAAACAAGGTGATGTATCATGAAAATAGGGTCTACGTAGCATAATCTAATTTGTGTATCTTTTCTCCTACATTCATTTCTTTACTTTGGTCCATAAGTTTCCAGAGATCTATTTGAAACAACTAACCTGTCCTACTAGCCTGTCCTTTTTTCTAGAATGTATAAGCCGTAAAACTGTACTTATTTTTAATATATGTTGAAGCATTTGGTACCAACAGATTTTTCCGCAACTAACATTGCGCATATTTGTCATGGTTGAATTTTGTTTAATATTGAAAACCTAAGATTAGAACTGTATACCAGGGGTCATGGTTAGAAGTTGAATGATAAGGGATGAAATAATTGATTTTGGGTCATAAATCAAATCAAATGTGATGATTCTTTCTCCCGTCGCAACGCATGAGCCCTTTTGCTAGTAATTTAAAAAGAAGGGAGAAAAGTTGTAGGAGGGCGAACCGTGCTCTAGGTCTGTTCGCATTGTGCCTCCGCCAACGACCAAGGTATTTTAAGTGCATAATTATGCATGCGCGATGCGAACTTCGCGAGCATATGCGACGAACGACGGAGGCAGAACTGCTAATCCAGCTCAAAAATTGGCCGGTCTTGTGCAGTAGAGGCCGGTGGCTTAATGACATATAAGTTATGCAGTTTAACGAGTCCACTTTGTACTTCGGCTGTGATGGCTGTGGTATACTCCTCGGAACGGAGGGGTTGTTCCTTTTTCCAGCGATTGTTATCACGCCGCATGGACCGGGCATCTTAAGCTTTTGATAGGCGTAGTGTGGGACCACATTGAAACGAGCGAACGCGGTCTGCCCAAGCAGTGCATGGTATCCACTGCAGAATGGAACAATATTAAAGATCAAGGCTTCGCTTCGAAAGTTGTCCGGCGAACCGAAGATGACTTCCAGTGTGATTCAGCCCGTGCAGTGAGCTTCTTCGCAAGGTATTACACCTTTGAAGGCGGTTGTGGTGGGCTTGATCCTTGAGGTATCAATGCCCATTTTGCGAACAATGTCTTGATAGAGCAAATTAAGGTTATTGCCGCCGTCCAGAAGGAATCGTGTGAGATGGAATTCATCGATGATTGGGTCGAGGACCAAAGCTGCCGAACCTTTGTGACAGATATCTGTTGGGTAGTCATTGCGATCAAAAGTGATCGGACAGGCTGCCGATGGGCTAAATTTTGGTACGACCAGCTTTATGGCGTAGTCGTCTCGTGGTACGCATTTGCGCTCCCTCGTAGGGATATGCGTCACAAATATCATGTT